TTTCTTTTTATGGCTGAGCGTTAAGAAGATTCCATTGTATACATGTGCCACATCTTCTGTATCCTTTCATCCAATGGTGGACACTTAGGTTGTTTCCATCTCCGGGCTATTGTAAATAGTGCTGCAATGAACATTTTGGTACATGACTCTTCTTGAATTATGGTTTTCTCAGGGTATATGCCCAGTAGTGGGCTTGCTGGGTCATATGGTAGCTCTATTTTTAGTTTTTTAAGGAACCTCCATACTGTTCTCCATAGTGACTGTATCAGTTTACATTCCCACCAAGAGTGCAAGAGGGTTCCCTTTTCTCCACACCCTCTCCAGCATTTATTGTCTGTAGATTTTTTGATGATGGCCATTCTGACTGGTGTGAGGTGATACCTCATTGTAGTTTTGATTTGCATTTCTCGAATGATTAATGATGTTAAGCATCCTTTCATATGTTTGTTGGCAGCCTGTATATCTTCTTTGGAGAAATCACTAGACCTTTCTTAATGCACTGTGTCTGTATTAGGATAATACAGTGTATTCTAGAGTTGACCTCTGTTGACTTCTGCCTCTGCCACTTTTTAGCAGTGTGAACAAGTAGTTTAACCTCTGAATCCTTGTTTATTATCCATGAAATGGGAATCATGATATTTGCTTTCGGCACTGTTGGGAGGACCAACTGCAATAAAACATAAAAACCTAGATAGATACTACTGTTTGTTGTTGTAGCTTCAGCTATTACTGCTTAAGGGTTGCTTTGGTTTTGCTGCTGGTCCGAATTTTTTCCAGCGTTAGGAAGATTTTTTTTCCCATCAGGCAAAGGGGATGCGGTAATGACAATAGAAATTTTAATGGTATGTTTATATTTTAGGGTTCAGAATCCCTGTATGTTTCCTTATCATACGTGATTCTCTAACATTGAGCACCTGCTTTGTCAAGTAAACTAACAGGTTTATTAGCCCCCAGATGTTGTTTTGAGAAGGGTGGGAAGTAAAGGCATGGCAAAGAAAATTAGAGATTATAAAGGTGCTGTTGCCCAGAGCAGGAAAAGTATATATAAATAGCCTTCAAAAGTCGACATTTCTAATTGAAAAAAAATTTTAAATCTCTGATTATACATAGGCAGCGTGTCCTAATCTAAAAGCTCAGAGTTTTACCATCAAATAAGATTTGAACCTCAGCTGAATATGACTGCCTCGCTCAAGTCTCATTTTGATCTGTTACTTCCGGGAGGGGTTGTGATGATTATGAAGGACTTAGCAAATGATGGAGGTTTAACACTGGCAGTTCCTGGTATTATTCTTAAGGATACTGTTACTGTTCCGTTATTATTCATAGACTTTTAGATTGTATGATCTCTCTGTATATATATGACTTTAGAAAAGAAGCCAAATACCTGTACAGCTTACCAATAACCATGGTTTTGAGCGCGTGCTTCCTGTCTCTGATTAAACCCTACCCCTTTCCTGTTTGTCCGTCCCCACTTCAGCGTAGTCGAATAGGTGAGGATTTCCCCACTAGGTCAGCCTCTACCTGCTCTGGGCCTGGAGAAGGAAACTTGGAAGAAAATTGTAAACAGGTAGATTTAAAACTGTGTGCTAACTTGCAAAAAGACACTTCAGTGTTTGCATTGAGATTGTTAATCCTGATTACCCTTGTGAAGGCACAGAAGATTTTGAAGAACCCTAAAATTAACATAATACTACGTGAGCCAGAGCGTGCGTGCGTGCACCTGTGTAAATGTTGTGTTTTGGTATGTTTTATGATTAACTGCCTTCCCAAAGAAATAGCCATGTTGCAGACAGGCTTCTACCATATTTTAACGAAATAGCAATGGAGAGATACTAAATTTAAAATGTCCGAAGGTTTTTGAAATACCTTCTCTTTGGTGGTTTTTCTAAAGCAATTTTAATCACAGTCTGAAGGGAGCAGTAATATTTGTTTAATAAATTTAAAAAGCCCTCTCTTCTCAAATTTTAAGTTCTCCATAATTAATACTGACACTGAAACATTTGTCAGAGTTTTATTGATCTCCTGTCTGGAAGAATCCTTTTCTGCTCTGAGGCACACGGCATTCAAGGCCATCGATAGCCTGCAGGTTCTTTTCAGACACTAGCAGTGAGATTTGAAGGCCCTTTTACCCTCACCCCCCAAGTTCTACTGTAGGGGTACAAGTGGGAGTCATTTCCTTTTAGGTCTCCACTTGATCGTTAAAGTACGTCGCCCCAGAGTTGCCTGTTAGAAAACATTAGCAGCAGAGGTTTTGGTTTGGTGTGGCTTTTCATTGGCCCTTCCTCACGTTCTCACGTGGGGCAGGAGCTCCAGGTTGGGACAGCGACACCCTCTGGTTTTGGGCTCATTATTGAACACAAGCTCTGCCCCAGGCTTTTTAAAATGAATCTCTCAAGCCCATGCCCATATTTGGAATTATTCCTGCAGTGAGAGCATATTGATGGTAATGATAAATATAACCCAGTTGTCATCCTTGCCTGGACATTCTGGTATTCAGGCTCCTCACTGATACAGAGAGTTGTAGATAAAATGTTTCAGGATCGTAACAGTCTCATTCCTTTTAAAACTTTGATGTGAAATCTTTTTAAAATAATATACTTAAATGATACTTTCCATCCATTTCTGGAGCTTGGGTTTCGGAAAAAGATTTTACTTTGAAAACAGCTTTAGGCCAGAGGGTTACTTTTGAAAACTAATAAAATCATTTACATTTTATATTTTGGAAAATGCAAAAACAAGTTATATTGACTTATATGCATAAGTCACACACATACCATCTGTCCAAAGAGTTATTTTCAGAATTCCCTGTCTTTCTATTTGATTTCTTAGCAAAATTCAACTTTAGAGTTATTGAGAGAAGGTTCTTCAGTGGGTAGAAGTTGAAGTCTGCTGCGCTTTCTTTTCCCGTATGACGAAAAGTCACTAATGTTAAGTAGCCACGAATTAGCACAGTCTCTAGGCCTGTCACCTTGCAGCCCTCTTGTTCCTATAAGATCCTACCAGTTTTATAATTTGCTTCATGGAAAAACCCCAAGTAAATTTTTAGTATCGGGTGTCTTGTCATTCTGGGAAGAAATTAGGTCTAAAGACAGTGGCACATTTCACATAAAAACATGCTATTCAAAAATGTGATAATACATTTAATAGTTTTCTAATGCCATTTTCAGCATTTTCAACTTTCTTATTAAATTGGTGATGCTGATTTTTTTTCCCTTGGCCAAAACTCAAGTCTGCTTCTTTGCTTCTCTTTGAAGTGCAGTGTTTTCTGCATGCATTTTTTCCCAACATCTAATAAAAATTTTTTTTAATGCACAGGTTACTTTGCATGATTTGGGGAATTTGCTTTTATACAAATCATATTAACAGTGTGTTAAATTGATGGTGAAATAGATTTCTTCAGATAACGATTTGTTAAAACTTTTCCAGTAATGACTTGTAGAAATATGTGTTTTAGTACAATCAGTAATAATGTTTTTTGCCTGTCTTGTGAAAGCACACTGGCCCTTATGATTTAATTTGGTTGGAGAGGCTATTAATGACCATATTTGGAAGTCAAGGGGAAAAGTAAGATCCTTTTGCCCAATGCTGTGCTTAATAAATGCTTATGACATTATAAAAGATACTTTTTTATTGTGTAAAATATGTTATTCTACTGATATTTCAAAATTTGTAATTAAGTTTTAATTTTGGTTAAATACATTTGGGTCTTTGGATTTTTTTTTTTCCTTCTCCAGGTACGAAATAGTAATTTTATATTAACTGGACCTAGAATTAATTTTAACATTATAAAAGCATTCAAGTGGGATTTTTTGTGGGTGTTTATTTCCAAAAAATTTCTCAGCAAACATGTTTCTATGTAATATTCTATATAGTGGAAAAAATATTTAGGATAATTACTGCAATCCTAAATATTACAGTCTTTGGAAAAATAAATGTTTGCTTCTAGTCAAAAGGTTTTCATAATATGTTTTCCTTTCTTTTGACTCTTAGAAATTTGTAAGAAATGCCTGTTAGTACTAACTAAAATTTTCTTTTGGAATACTTCTTCTAAATCAAAACCCTTGTAACTAACTCCGAGGGCACTGTTTTCGAAGCTCGAGCACCATAGCAGGCATGTAGCTTACCGGGGAAGCCTGGGTCTCACTGCTGGTGTTTTAGCTGCTTGCTCTTCCCCACTTTGCTGCTATAGCCACTACGAGCATATGTTGTCTCTAATAAAGAAAAGTAGAACATTTTCCAAAAGGCAGAAGAGTAATAATAACTTTTTAATTCGTACCATGTAAATCTAGTTTGCTTCCCAAAGACTGTCTCTGTCCTCAATTCGTAGATGTAAAAGTAGGAGTTTTTCAGATGTATTTGGACTCTATTTCTAATGTTTCTTAGTCACTAGGAAAAATGGTTTTTCAGGATAACGCAGTGGTAGCTTGTTTAGAAACTTGTTCTTTCCAGGGTGTGCTAGGAGCCTTGTCCAGTTCTGACTTACTAGAATGGACAATCTTAAGCCTTTTCACATTTTTTGATTGTTTCATTTATGTACTCACCAGCTTTGTCCCTAGTGTTGGACAGCAGAGGAAAAAAGTTTCAGGAATTTATTGTTAATGTGCTGTTGTAAAATCCAAGGCCAGGGTGTTCAGTGAAACCAGGGCTTATTTTCCATATTGAAGTTTGGCTGTTTATAGTTGATGATGGTATTTTCTCTAGGTGCTGTTTGTTTTTTTTAATGGCACAGATGTCCTCTTATTATTTATTCTACTCATACAAAACAGATATCTTCTAAAAACAATTTTGGGAATTCCCTGGCGGTCCAGTGGTTAGGACTCCGTGCTTTCACTGCTGGGGGCCCGGGTTCAATCCCTGGTCAGGGAGCTAAGATCCCGCAAGTTGCGTGGTGCGGCCAAAATAAATAAATAAATAAAGTAAAATAAAACAACTTTAATGAGCATTTTGACCAAGATAGGCAATTGTACATGACATAAATTAACCATCTCTTCCATTTCTAGGCAGCACAGATTGTGCTCATCTCTCTGTTTGAATTGAACACTCCTGAATTTACCATGTTACTTGGTGCCTTGCCAAAAACATTCCAGGATGGTGCCACCAAACTCCTGCATAACCACCTCAAGAACTCCAGTAACACCAGTGTGGTGAGTGCTTGGGTCACGGTTGGTGGCCTCCACTTACCCGTCCCTGTGTAGAGCAAATGCTCAGTTGTGTCTGCTACTCTGTCTGCTCCAGCTGACAGCAGTCACTCAGCTTCGGGAATGCCTGCAGGACAATTATCCATTTTTGGTTTGTATGCACTTAAAATTGACCTTATGATTCTGGAAAAAATCACCCTGATTATGCAGAATCTGCCCATTTATTTGCACGGGGGTTCAAGGGCCGAGGGGCAAGCGGAACTGTGTTCTGTATTTATCCCTCGCGTGATGGAGCTCTTCTGCCTTCCCCCAGGGCTCTCCGAGCAACACCATTGGCCGGACTCCCTCTCGACATCCCAGCAGCCGGACCAGCCCCCTGACCTCCCCCACCAACTGCTCCCATGGGGGCCTGTCTCCAAGGTAATGCCATTTCAACAGGAGTAAAGACACTAAAGCACCCCGATGACTGTCTAGGCTACTTCTAGGTTTTTAGACCAAGCTTAATACCAAAAAGTGTATGGGTACCAGGAGCCCACGGCTCCTATAGCCCTCACACAGATCTTAACTGTGTCACTTGGGGCAAAGTGGTTATAGCTTCTATGGTGAAATGAGCGGTTTCTGCTGAATGGTCTCTGAGATTCTTCTAGCTCTAAACTCTTTCTTCTAGTACCTTAAAGATTTTAAAACTGAAAGTTAACGTTTAGAGCCCTGTTTCACATAGAAAGCATTTAGAAACTCATCACCTACTCTGTAAGCGATAGGAGCACCTATGGGTATTTGATCGTCTAACTAAACCCTTTATAATCAGTCCACACATAGTCTGGGGTAGTTTCCACCCAAGTGGCCATTCTGGGCTCACGTTTGAAGCCGAATGCTGCTCTGAGAAGGGCTTGAGAACCTGAGAACTAAAACTGGATCAGCATTTTCAGACTCCTCTTGGGACCATGTGAACATTGGCCTAACAGAGTCTGGGGCAGTGACTTAGAAAGAGAAGAGAGTTTGCCTTGAGATCTTTGGATAACATTTCCCATCTGGCCAGAGCCCTTAGAAGTCCCTGCACGGTGGCTTTCATGACCCCCTGGCAGGTGTTGGAGTTTCTCATGGCCTCACTCAGAGTGGTGACCCTATAGGCCACAGCTTTTAGGAAGGAGCCAGAGGCTGGACCTGCAGGGGTCATGCATGTGTGTTTGGCTTCAAGAAATGCAGGGCTTTGGGATCACTAACAAGAGTCAGGGGGTTGTGTCTTAAGGGTTGCTGACACCACGATCTTAAAATTGGAGGAAAATGTCACAAGTATGCCATATGCCATACCCTTTTAAGAGTTACCTCTTTTGTTGGAAGGTAGCAAAATGTAAGTGCCTTCAAATTTAGATTTTTTTAATGCTCAAGACTCTTCCAAACTCCTCCATCCTTACCACTGAAGTTGTCTTCAGTTTCTCAAGTTATCATATAAATATTTTGGAAAATGTCAAATTTGTGTTTTTCTCTTGGAGAAACGAAATGTTTTGTATACTAGTGTTTATATTGCTTTATGTTTCATCCTCCTAAGGTCCCCTGGTACTGTACGTAGGTAGAATGAAGCATAGCGTTATGTTTCCAGATTTGGTCTGTGTGGTCATGGTTTCAGCAGGCTGGTATAATTAGACGCTTGAGACCAGAAACTAATGGTAACATGTCTGACTTTCCCCAAGTGTGTCTCTGGCTCGGCGCACTTGTTTTTTAAATGTTACCGTCTGTATCAAAACAAACGGTTTGTCTTAAGTGACCCCAGTGTTGGCAGTAAAATCATGGAGTTCTCCTCGGTAGGAGAGGGTTTTATGGAGAAGCTGTCTTCTCTGTAAACTGTTGCCTTTGTTTAGACATGGTACTTCTGCAACATTGAGAAATCTTTTCTTCCATAATACACAGTTCATACTTCTTATTTTTTACTTAGTTCATTAACAGGGTGGCACATTCTTTAGGTAATAAACAAAAGGTAAAATTCAAATGAAGTATTTTGTTATATGTGCTCATGGACTAAGTAAAAGATCGGTGGGAGCTGCTAGCACAATCCAGCGGAGCTAAGACTTGGCTAGGTATTAAGCTTCATGAATGTCCAAATTATTTACAAATTCTAATTTAGTTTTCCAGGTCACCATATTCATTCTTAACTAGCCTGGCCTAAATTTTTACTGTTAGGGTTACAGGTGAGTGGAAGAAACGGGGAGATTTATTTTCAATCTTAAAAAGCCCAAGTGGCACCTAAATATTTTCTTATCAACCAATTCTTCTTTAAGGGATTATTTAGTTGTGTAATTTCTTTCTTTCTTTTTAAACACAGTATGCCCTCAGTCAGTGCATAAGTAGCCAGAATGGCCTTAGCCAACTTGAACTCAACAGGAGAAATAATTTTTCTCACAACTAGAACTGTCCAGAAGTGGGAAAAGCTGCCCTCATGTCATCATATCACAGGAAATATTCAAATGGGCTACATACTTTCTACCAGGAAATTTATAAAAGGAATGAACTCTTGCACTAAATAGGAGAATGTACTGGGTTACCACATTCTAAGTAGGGATAGACCAATTCTACAGGATATAATCTCAGCTATTTTTCTGAGCGGTGCTCTTGAAACATTTATTTTCTATGACCTGCTATTTTATCTTTACCATTGGATGTTAGCTTTTTGTCCTTAAGGGGAAGAGTTACTGAGTTGTTTGTTTTTAATCTAACTTTGAGTATCAAAATAAACTAGTTACTTTTTTTTTAGTCCAAAAATTCTACACTCAGATTATGCTGGGAATAAGAAAATACTCTAACATGATGAACACATTTAATTTGATAGTTTAAAAAAAAATCGCTACTGAGGAATTCATTGTTATTCACCCAGTAACATTAGAGAAGCCGTAGCAAACAAGTTAGACTTTTGTGGAAGTTCCATCCATCAGTCATCATTTCTGTGGGAGAGAGGAGTCCTGCTTATTCCCAGCGAGCAAACAGATGCTCCAAGTCTTCGGGGAGAAGGCGAATGACCTGGAGTGTTCCTTCATTAAACACACATTTACGCTTCAGCTCATTTTACCGGGTGTGATCGATGCTCATTGAAAAACAGAGTTGCAAGGGGCTTCAGCAATTACGTGCAGTCCGTTCCCTTTAAGATAGAAAAAGCACGTGGCCGTCCTCACTCTGGTCTGCTGTGCATTCTTGACAAACATGCTGTGGAGCGCTCAGCAGATAACCTCTGGTAACCCAACAATAGAAGGCAATTTTAGGTGGATTTTACACTCATCCCGTCAGACGATCAAGCGTGTGCACAGACTCAAGGTGGGGATCAAGCTGGAGACCCCCTCCCACAGGGAGGTGCTGGCGCATCCTCTTGGTCCTCCCCCTACTGGCAGGGCCCCAGTTGAGGGGGTCTCCCGTGTCCTCTTGTGCCGCTGACTCAGTGTGTGGCCTAGAGGATGCCTTTGGCCCTTCTGTGCCACAGTGACTGCTCCCCTCCACACCTTGTATTCCTTATAAAATGGGGCCTTCACTGTCCTCAGGTGAAGACCAGCTCTGGACCACTGCTCTCAGAACCGCCATGAGTGCCAGGGCAGGCGCGCTGCTCCGTAGGGACCCTGGTCCTGTGGACCCCTTGGCCTGGTGTCCCATTTGCGGTCAGCTCAGTTCACGCCTGTCCTGTGTCTCTGGGTCTGTTGAACTGCAGCAGCAGTTAGAACTCTGGCAGGGCCTTTGCACACCCAGGTCACTTAGGGACACCTGCCAGGTGAGGAGAGCCTGTGTTCTCAGGTGCACTTTAGTCCTCATATCAGGTCACGTGAGCATTCCCCCCTCTCGGAGCCGGCCTGTGGGCCGTGGCCCGCCCCCCCAGTGGTGCTGTTGTTTTCACAGAAGGAAATACCCATCTGAGGGTCGTCCCGGTGGAGGGACGCGTTGTCCCCTGCCTGAGTGATCTGGCCGGGTGGCACCTTCCCTGAGGCTTCCTGCTCTCGTCCCTTTGGTCCCATTTGAATTAAAGCCCCATGAATCCTTCTTTGGTTCTTTCTGAAATAACCGATTGCATTATCTGCAAGTACATCTGTGTTTTTTGCATGTAAGTGCTGGTAATTTCCTTTACACACACACAGTCCTGTAGTTGGAATCTCATGTGATTTAAAAACATAAATGCAGGACTCAGAACTGGTTCTTGCCCCCGAATGGTGCAGCATGACTCTGGGTAGACCTTTGTCAGGGAGAGGGGCTCTAGGACACAGAGTATAGTGCCGCCCTTGCCTGTCTTGTCTCTTTCTCTGACTCTCGTCTTCTGATCACCGCAGTCGGTTGTGGGGTTGCAGTGCCGATGGGTGGTCGAAGCAGCCAGCTCCCTTTCCTCAGCCTAGCTCCATCCCCACCGCTCCCTCCCACAAGACTCTCAGGCGCCCTTACTCTCCCAGGTAACGAGCTACCTGTTCCACTTCTCTGAGGTGTCACAATATTATTGCACTTCCAACGTCGCCTCAGGTCTCTGGGGAAGCCTCTCCGCCGCCTCCGGCTGAGACCAGCGGGGCTAGAGCCTTGGTGAGAAGTGTGAGCCAGGGGCGTGGCCTCAGCCAGACCTCTCGAGGACGCTCCTACGGTGCCCCCAGGAGAGGGGACCATTGCATCAACTGGCTACATCCACCGACATCTGCGGTTGCAGCGCTCGGCCCCTGGAAGGGGCTCGGGCGACGCGTGCCGTCAGGGCCGCGACCGGGTGCGGTGTCCCCGGCCTTCTGCTCTACCGCACAGGGCTGCTTCCTCCCAAACCTGAGGTCCTCAGTCCTGCTGTCAGTGGTGTGGGCCAGTGTCCTTCCTGATGTCCCGTCCTGATGTCCCGCATGTGCTGATAGTCTGAGGACTCAGATCCAGAAAGGCAGCCCCGAGAGGTGCTCTCCCCGTGACATCCCATAAAGGGGGCCCAGCACCGGGCGGGAGAGCCGTGGGGTCCCCACAGGCTTCCGGCCGAATGCGACAGTGCTTTACAAAGGAGGCTTCATGGGCTCCTACGGATTCGTGTTTGAGGGTCTCTTAGGTGCTTTTTATAAACATCCAAAGATCAGAGGATCCCTTCCCTGGAGCCCTATGATTACATGAGCAGAGGACGGAGCAGTCCAGCTGCCTCTGTGCTGTGTGAGATGAGTTTGCACCCTCTGTGATAGGACAAGGGTAAAGACAAAACAAAAAAAAGAAGTCTGTTACTTTTGAATGCCTCAGAGATAGCTTTTGCACAGAAGATTTACATTCTTACTTTATGTCCTCGACACAGCGAGACTGTATGTAGTAAACAAGTCAGCTAAGTGTTTTAACAGCATCTTCCTTTGGAAACTCTCCCAGTTCTGAAAGTAGCTTCTAAAGCATGCAGAGACTCCTGTGGTGACTGTCCAGATGCGCAGGTTGGGGCACGGGCACGTCAACAGTGAGATGGCTGCGTCCTCAGTGTTAATAAAGCATGCCACTGCATTTGTCTTAAAGGTTAGTCATGCCTCAACGTATCAGACTGGTTGATTGACTGTCTCCCAGTACACTGACCTGTGTGCCTTACTGGGCACCAAGCTTCACCCCCAGCCAGTCTTCCCATCTGGCCACTGAGACCACCCTCCAGAGGACATCTGTTCCCAGAATCACCTTTTACACGTGTGTACAATGCTACAGCTAACGCTTCACAAACAACTATAACTTCTCTTAACTGTCGGAGGGAGAGAGAGTGGACCCAGAGACCTTTACACTTAGAGAACCTATCGGTTACATAAAACTAAGAGGAAATCTGTATCTTTTCTCTTTGCTTTTCGCCAAAACCCTGTTGATTTCATGAGAAGGAACAATTATCCTCATTCCATACCTAGTATCTTTTCCCT